GCCATTGCAACCTGACTCTCAGTCCGCCACGCAGCCACTGCAAACGGTAATTTTGTAATTACCTGCGGTGCGAACGAGGACGCATCCATGTCCAAAAGTCCGTAGTTGCAATATATTATTTATCAATTAACTGAACTCATACTACCTGCTTCCTTTGTCGATTGTCTTCGAGTACTATCACATCAAAATCGTCCAGGTAATATTAAGACAACGGAACTAGACACACCGTTTTGCAGGAGGACGTCGATGCAGCTGTAGTTGTCCGTCGCCCGAGAACAGCATTCTCTAGCGCGACTATTCGGCCATCCAACGCAGTTATTCTGCCCTCTGTTGAAGCCACGTGGCGTTCAATGTTGGAAAGGGCGGCTGAGAAAAGGTAATTATAGTAGGCCGCAATACTTACTGAAAACGTATTGCTGCCAATCCGCAATGGACGTTGCGGTGCCTGTTTGATCGGAGGTGGACTGCAGAGGGGTAGTCGTCGCGTTATTGACGTCTGAAATTTATTTAATCAAATATGTGAAAATTACCTTCACCTGGGCCTTGAGGCACCTCGGTAACCCTGTTCCGCAGGGAAGGGGTTGAATTTCCCAAATAATATTTCACTTCATCCTCCCTCTCACCCTCATTGTTGGCGGGAATATTTGGCCGCCCGCTGCCATTGTAGTGAACTTGCCAGGGCTCTAGTTCCATTGATATTGACTGCAAGGGGACAGGGGGAAATGCTATGAAAAAAAGGAAAAATCTGTCTACTACGGTATCCACTAGTTGGTGCCCTCGAATCCAAAGGGAAGACGTTAAGAGGTCCTTGGCAAACGTGTTCAACAGATGCTATCAGAGGTATCTAATTAAATGACTCGTATGAAGAGAAAAGAGTTCTCAAAATGGAAAACTTTTAATTTCTCAGAAAGTTCTCGTACTACAGCTAATACTAGTTCAATGATATCCGCAAATGGTTTTGTGTGAAAAACAATGTCAACTCGTCTTGAGGGAATAAACAATTAGAAGATGTTAAAATCGTCCGTTAAAGGGAAACGGTAGTGGGGACAGGAGGGGCGTTAATAGTTTTTACGTCTAAGGACTTCTATTTCGAAGATCTGTGATAAAGAATCTTCAACAATATCATACAATGCCTAATAGTAGTTACGGAGTGTGCAGCAATAGCAAATATTCTCCCTGCTACTTGTAGCAGTGGGTCTGTACAAAAGGGATAGGTAGACACACAATTATTCAGCAACCGCCGAGCAAAGTCAGCAACTTTTGTGTACAACTTACGGTGACACAATAAAGTTAATATAAATAAATAAAAGCATAAAATGATCACAATGTTCAGAAATGAGAAAACGGGATAAAACAATAGGACCTATATACAACAAAAATTGACGGTACTGCACAGCCTTTCGTTACTCAGGTGAGCCAGAGATCCGCTGGTTCGTGCAAATTCAGCTGATAAGCTTTCGCTGCAAATATCGATGGATCTGCGCCATTCATCACGTACGTCGCCTTTCAAAACGCCAAGTACGTAGAAGTCCACTCACAACACCTAGGTATACTAGTTGCATGCAATCGAGAAGGAAGCATACAACCACGTCGACGTCAACGGGGGAGCGGCCTATGTGGTGCTTCTTCTGCATCTGCGCACGGAACGATATATCGTCACGTCAGCATCCAATGTAGGTGGGAAACAGCATACGATAGCATTGGAATATCCCCGGTGTCAACTCCTACAATGATTTGTTTTGGATATGTGTAACAACATACTTGTCGCACACATAGACGCAATTGTGGGCTATGATTTGTCTTCCGTACGACCGGATAGGCATGACACGTATATATAATATGATCCAGAACCACCTCCACAACGCCATGCGTAAGCTGAGTGGACAGATCATCCGCAAACAATCCTTTCAATTCTGAAACACAGACCTCTAGAGAGTTGTCCAAAGGAGGACACACCAAAAACTAAGGGGTTTTCACGTAAGCGTCCACTGTAGGTAGGAAACAGCATACGATGGCATTGGAATGTACCCGGTGAAACTCTTACCATAATTTCTTTTAGACAGATATAACAACATACTTGTCTCACACATGGACGCAATTGTGGACTATGATTGTTCTTCTATACGACCGGGTAGGCCTGGCATATATAATATGATCCAGAACCACCTTCACACCGCCATGCGTAAGCTGAGTGGGCAGGCCATTCACAAGCAATTCTTTCAGCTCTGAACTACAGACCTCTAGAGAGTTGTCCAAAGGAGGAGACATCAAAAACGAAGGGGTTTGCAACAACGGGATGCCT